AGCTACTTGCTAGCCATAGGATTGATGATGGAGAAGTTTCTGGTTTTCTGACACACTTTAGCATTAGCAATCAGTCTGTGTTGCTAGTGAACAGAAAAAAACATCAAAATAGAAAAATCCTCTCTTGTGGAATTACTGGCTTTTGTTCAAGCCTGCTTTGTACTCTCTTTACTAATGGTCTGCAAATCTGGGTGTATATGCAACATATCCATAACAACATGTACAAGAGCCTGTCTGTTTAAACAGCTAGTGGCTAAGAACTCAAAAGATCTTCTCTAGTGACATCAATGACATGTGTGTGCATGTATGTATAACTTTAAGGAGAATGTGGGTAAGGAGAAGATAGCAGATAACTCTTCTCCAGATGGCTGCTCAGTGAAGAACTCTCACTCAGAGCAAGTGGAAGCTGCTACAGGGAGCATTTGAAAGGAGGATGCCTAATTAGATGAGAATTTTTATTTATTTATTTGGTTAACAACTACTTTGGGACAATAGGACAGGCTGTCCTAACAGCATTCAGTAAAGTTTGGTGGCAATAAAGTTAATTCCAGTGACTTTCAGTGTTTGTGGAAGTAACAAAAAAATGAGTTCCTCATGCATTTAAATATAGTATTTCATGAAAATAATACCCGCCCTTTCTCACTTCTCTTGTTATTTGTGTTGTCTCCAGGGTCATTATTGGCATGTAACATTTATGTTTGGGATTTTGTCAGTCCTGCAGACAATGGATATGGCCCACAGTAGGGAAATGTACCTCTTGACTCAAAGGACCAAAGAAGTGCATCATAACTCAAAATTCTTTTTTGACACAAATATTATCTTAGGATTTTGGGGGGATCATGTTTTTTATATTTTTAGTGAGCATAAAAATGTCTTTCTCATTCTAGTCAGTATTGGCTTTGTGGCTGTTCTGAAAACAGAATTGCATGATTGTTCTTCTAATGAGACTGTATGGTTTTCAAGACTGTGTGGAGTCATGAATCTACAATTCATAGAAATAGGTGGGCTCTAAAGAGAGCTCTAAGGCTGAGAAACTTCCCAAAGAATTTAGCCTAAGTCATTTGGAATGAGAGGAGATATAACTTCAGGACGCCTTTAAAAACAAAACGGGAATTAAATCTTTAGATGCTTAAAAGTAAGTTTGGCTGGGCTACTTATCGTTTTCTTATTATTTTGCAAACTACAAAATACATGCTTTTCTTCTAAGTGCATTTTGAGATGTCTGTATAGGCTATGAGTTGTTATAAAAACAAAATATAAAAACTCCATACTGCTTATATGTCCTAGGAAGCTGTTTGGTCACAGTGAGTACAATCTAGTACATTCCTGATCATCATTAGGGACGTTAGAAGAACTGGAACATTTTTATGCATTCTTGGATTGTTCAGATGATTATGAAAACTTCTTTCTCGTAAATACTTAACTTGGTTCAAAACTAGTCAAGCTCTAAGACCTCCTGATGATACCTCTATCTGATTCAAAGAAGAAATTTGTAATTCCGTAGAATTGTTATCTTCCACACTTTAACTTACTAAACTGTCACATCGAATGATGCCTACTCAGGAGGTTTGGAACAGTAAAAACCATTTGTATCATAATTCTGCAGTAAGGGTCCTGGTTTCTTACAGCAGCTGTGTTTTAAAGAGATGGGTTTACATTATCACTAAAACGTGAGCTCTAAGGTCTGAGCTATGCTTTTTGGTGTGGATGAAAGATTTCCCTCCCTTTTATTTATGCAGGAAGGTGCCATTTGATACACTGTAGAAAGACCCTCTAGAAAACATCACTCTGCCTTTTGAAATGAGCCAGTGTAATAAAAGGTGTTGCCAAGCAAGTTTTTCTATAACCAATTTTTAAAAACTGCAGAATCTTCCATTCTGGAAGGAACATCTAGTGGGATTTAACTGAGATAAAGGAAAATTTCTAAAAGATGTGCCAAAATCATTATTGCAGTCTGTGAAGCAGAATAATGGAGGCCTCCATGAGTCTTTCAAAGTAGTAAATTGACAGTCTGTATTAAGCAGGACTCTAATTACAGATATTCTGCTGAGTTTCTGGAAGTAATAAATTCAGGACTATGACTGGATTTTAAACATTAACTGAAATAATGAAGGTTCCTTGACTTTTTACAGGAGAAAACACTTAGAGTAACATTTTCAGATCTAGAAACCAGTTACTTAGTTCTGGTTTAACAACATGCCACTTGTTTTATTTACAGAGTTCCTAGTTGTAAGGGTGCCATTTTTATTGACTTAAGCCTAGTGATAATAGAATTGCATTCCTGAGGTTTCTTACGTTGATTATCTGAAAATACTCTGAGGATTCCAAGGAGATTGTTGCCTCATTGCCTAGCTTATCAGATTCCCTATGGATTTGTTTTTCAGTTACTGGCAGAAAGTAAGCAAGAATATTAAAATAATAAATTTATGGCAAAGCAGTGTATCTGTTGCCCCTAATTTTCTTTCTCCCTCAAAGTCAGTTTGTACTCTCTTTATATGTTGAATATGCAATAGCTCCACAGCAACAGAAAGGTGAATAAGTAAAGTTCCAGTGCAAATTTAACCTAACAAGTTATGAATGGCAATTTTCTTTCAACAGACCTTTACTAGGGATCTTCCTGCAGTTTTTTACATTCAGTATGTGTTACCAGTTTACTTCTGTAATTCTGGTATTTGCTTATATCTGGTGAAGATGCAGGGATAAACTGGAATGGTTAGATTTTGTCTAGTAGTGACATTTCTTGGAAGATCTAATGTGGAGAAACAACTTGAAGACAAAACTTCAGAATACTTATGTGGGATTTTGAAATCTCTAGGTTAATTGGGTTTCTACTCTGAATTTCTGTTCTTGAGTCCTATTGCCACAGAACTGTAGAACACAGACATTAAGTACTCGGAAGCATAGCAAAGAGAGAAAACATGTAGAAGTCATGGTCTTGAATTTTCTGAAGAACTGTAAAGTCCCCCTGTTCCAGCAAGCAACTTGTGGTCCTGTTCTTGGTAATACAGAATGTTATTACTTGTCTTTCCCTCATGCTATTGTTATGCTGGGTTGGGAAGCGCTGTAAATATGAAAAACAGTATTTGGTCAGGTGACGTTCACAGACTGAAAGTTCTGGAAGCACATACAGGTACAACAACCTTAAAAACCCATGTAAAGAGAGTCCACCAATCTTACTCTTTTAATGTGAAATTTTATTACTCTTGTCACACATTCTTCTGGCCCTTGATTTCACAATCTAATAAAATACAAAATTCCCACTCCCTACATTTTTGTTTCTTGTCATTCTCTCTTAGTGACAACCTGTATCACACAGATGAAAAAATTCTACCTAACTCAATCCTTTAAATACAGGATTTAAGAAAGAAGATGATTTCTTTTTATGTTTTCTCTGCCCATTTAGAGGACAGTGCTCAAATAGCATACTCAAATGACTATGTTCCCAGTATTAACAATAAACCTCTTTGCCATGGAATGAATGACTAAATACAGATCTGTAAGTACATGTCTGCTAAATCCAAAGTAACTGTAGCTCTTCTGTTAAACTTTGCTAACTCCATCTATATGGTATGAAACCACAGATAAAGGATGTTAACTGTTCACATTGACTTTTTAAGGCTCCATTAAGTTGCTGGAGTGCAGCATCTTTCTATAAATACAAGATCCTTGCAGTCACAGACTGCAGGCTTTGTTAGCCTTTCCAGATCTTGAGCCAAAAATAAGCTGGTAAAACAGATGGGAAAGTGGGAAGCTGGAACTACTATATAGGCAAAGTGAAAGCTCTTGGATAATCTTAACTTCAAATTTTCATGCTTTCAAGCACTTCCTTTGAAATTAAAATTTCTGTCTCTAATACCATTTATTTATATCACTATCATTCTTATGATTTTGTACTTTGTAACCTTGATATTAGAAGGTTTTTATATTTTGGGGTTTGTAAATTTGATTATATTAAAGGACAATCAAATGCCATTTCTTGGTCATGCTAATTTATAAATTGGTCATCATTACTGATACAGCTTGCTTCTGCTTTTGCCAGTAGTTGAGCTATAAAGAGCAGACAAAAGTTTCTTTAATTAAAAAAGCAAACTGAGGGAAAGAAACCTTTGTTCCTTTTAACCTAATACTACATTTTACTTGTAATGCTTGTCTGTGGACAAGGAAGGACTTGGGTTTGTTCGTTAATGAGAAGTTCAACATGACCTGTCAGGGTGTATCCTGGGCTACATCAGGAGACATGTGGCCAGCAGGTCAAGGGATGGGATTGTTCCCCTCCGCTCTCATGAAACCCCACCTGGAGTGCTGTGTCCAGCTCTGGGACCCCCAACATAAGGACATGGAGCTGCTTGAGCAGGTCCAGAGGAGGCCTTGAAGATGATCGGGGGGCTGGAGCACCTCCCCTGTGAAGACAGGCTGAGAGAGTTGGGGTTGTTCAGCCTGGAGAAGAGAAGGCTCTGGGGAGACCTTATAACAGCCTGCCAACACTTAAAGAGGCTCTACAGGAAAGATGCAGAGGGGCTCTTTATCAGGGAGTGGAGGGATAGGGTGAGGGATAACAGTTTTTAAATGAAAGAGGGTAGATGTAGATTAGCTATAAGGAAGAAATTCTTTACTGTGAGGGTGGTGAGACACTGGCACAGGTTGCCCAGAGAAGCTGTGGCTGCCCCCTCCCTGGCAGTGTTCAAGGCCAGGTTGGACGGGGCTTTGAGCAGACTGGGCTGGTGGAAGGTGTCCCTGACTGTGGCAGGGAGGTTGGAACTAGGTGATGTTTAAGGTCCCTTCCAACTCAAACCATTCTAGAATTCTATGATTTAATGCTTCTTCAAGCATTGCAGAAATAAGTTTTCCAGAAATAAAGGCTAAAAAAGGTTTGGTTTATTATTAAGCACTGTAGAGTCCTACTTTTGGTTTTTGGTCATGAAATTTGTTGTACAAAATAAGTAATTTTTTTTTTGATCAGTTAAAAAAATTACAGGAGTAAACTTAGTGTCATCTTCTAGGCTTGTATATTCATCTGATAAAAATCTTAAAGAAGCTGAGGAGCTGGCTATGATGAAAAAAGTATTGGAACCCAAACTAATACAAGAAAACAACATTGCTACTCTTCAGAACACTCAAAAAAATATAAATTGTCTTGGAGATGGCAAAAGAACACCTGTTGGTCAGAATACTCCAAGTGAAGCTGTTCAGAAAGAAGTCGCTTGCTCATCTTGTATTGAAGAGGAAATGCCAGAAGTAGTTGTTGATGCAGAAAGCAACAAAGCTATTGCAGGTAGGTTTGGGACTATATCTTTGTTTATTTTGGGGTTTTTTTCAGTTAAATAATGATCTGAAGACTTATACAGATGTAAAAATGCAGGGAAAGATTAAAGCGTTTTTATAACACAGTTTACCTCATTCTCTCACACTGTGAAAAAATGAATTGCTGCAGAAGTTTGGCAGGAGTGGTTCACAACCAGTGTATAGTTTAAGTCGACTGACAGGACTTGCCAGGCATCAGGCATTGTGTTCTATCTTTACTCTGTAATGCAGCAAACCTGAGTCCTCACCACGCAGGACTTCAACAGAGCAGAATCATTCCATTCCTTTCCTTTTCTAGCAAAATATACTAGTTCCACTGTTGGTTTATGAGGATTTTGGAATCTTTCAGAATCTTCCCTCCTACAATGTGAATGAAATAAGTAACACAAGGAAATGTGTAACTGCATCTACACCAGAGGTGTTGGCTGCTACAGCTGTGTCATTAAGATAGGATCAAGCAACAAATCTGTTCTGGTAGAAGCTTAGAGTGCTACATGACCCTGAACTTCTTCAGAAGATCTCTGTAGAAAAAATGAGCTTGGATATATAATCTTATGAAAGATTCTATAACAGTAGCACTTCTGTAGATACCAAGTACAAAGCATGGGTCAAATATCTCGTATCTCAAGATAAAACAAGAAGTGCATGGTCTGGGAAAACTTTCAAGGAAAATTCTAGTTGAATATGCAATATTAAAACATTTCTTTTTGTCAGATTCTTCTTTTCAAATACTTTAAAGTTGTCTGTGTACTGCCAGTAGTATATTCTACACTGGACAAAGTGAAAAATAGCTATTTCCCTCCATCTGCAGGTGTTTCCAAACTAGAAACTGCATCTGTGTTAGGAGAAGACTTAATGATGCTCTACAAAAAGTGCTGCTGTCCAGATATTAATATTTGCATAGAAGGCAAAGATTTTCAAGCTCACAGGTACATAAATATTTACTGTAAATTTTTCAACCAAAATCCTTTTAGTATAAAATGCTGCTGGTGCGGTGTATCTATAGTAAGTTATTGCTGGTGCTGTTACCTAGCTGTGAACTGTTACAGTTTTTAGGTCTTATGTGAGAAGTGGCCATACTTTGATACTGATGAAAATTTCTCATTAACAGCAACGATTGTGAAAACTATTGTGGTTTTAGCACTTCTAAGATTGCCACTGTAAAGTCATATCATGTGTATATACTCAGGTATAAATACTGTGTAGATTTTCTTTGCTAACCTTTTTTTAAATAATCTGTGCTCTCCAAAAAAAATGAAAAATCTATTAATAAACTATTCAGCTATTAATGCTGAATAAAATTACCATACAGCTAGAAAATTTCTGGAATAGTAATTATATATATTTTTTTTCCTGCTCTTCAGTACTGTGCATACAGAATCTGATTTTACTTTCATTTAGTCATGTATGTAAAGATTATCAGTAGCCTTTATTAGATCTACAGTCCAAGACCATTTAAGAACTTTGGCTTATTGGACTTCTGTAGCTTGGGAAGGCAGATTAAAGTGTCAGTAGCATTTCTTGTACATTTGATATGACTCCGTTTGCATTTGAGATAGCAAACTTGACAGCCTGTATTTTGTTCCCTTTGAGAGAGATTATAAAGGCCTCCACTACTTCTAGTATTTTCTCAACACAAAACTAGTGGGGGGGTTATATTCCTGACATCACAAATATCTGCACAGAATGTATGTCATAATGGGGGGGAGAGGGGTGGGGGGGTGTGATTATTTGGATATATACTAAATTTCCAGAATGTAGTTAGGTATGTTTGTTTCTTCTGGTCTACACTATAAGAATACATGTTCTCAGGTCCATAACTTTGAGAAACAAGTACTATGGTGCAAAAAGAAAGTCAACAGAAAGATTCCATTAGCAGAACTTCCTCAATTTAGGCCACTTACTGCCTGGAGCAATGTATCTACTCTAACCAGCATCAAATAATACAGCAGTAAATCATAGAGAAAACAAGGATGTTCTGAAATGGTCATAAGACTTGCTTGTTTTAGTACTGCATCATGTGAACAGTAGGAGTCAATAAGAGAAATCTAATTTTGGGTATAATTGTTGTGGAGGCACCAGTATGATTTATTTATTTTAAGAAGTTTTTTGATGTTCTCACGCAGGAGACAGTTTAAGCCTGTACCCTCTCCCACCCACTTATCTCAGTATTTCTTATTTTCTCATGAAGTCCTATGAACTTCCGACAGACTTCATGGTGTGAGCAGCAGTGCTCTGAGAGAGTTGCCAAGTTACGTCTTCCTAGTGCTGTGTTGAATTCTTACAGAGCTCTGAGTGGAGCAAGTCAAATTTGTCCAGTAATAAACTTGTGGCACAAACCATGACAGTAGGAAAACACAGATAAATTTACTTCAAATTCATTTGGTATCACCATGTATTTTATAAGTTAAAATGTTATCAATGTATATTTAGGTAATACATACTTGTCCATATTATTTAAAATGCGTCTTTGAAATATCCACTTCAACTACATCAATGAAGTTGATCGAGCCTGTTCATTACTAAAATTTATTTGGAAGAAGATGAAAAAATTGGAGATAGTGTATTTCATATCTTCGTGATATTGTGCTGCTGTATCTTACAAAAACAAGATTGTGTGTGTATTCAGAATTTCACGTACTCAAAGATGTGATGTAATACTCATTTACGTGTGGATGTATTTCACTAAGATATGAAACATTCTGTAAAAGCTTTTTTGTTATTATTGCTGGATGAATCACAAGAGGAATGTGCGAGAAGTTCCTAATTTAAAGTACAGAGACTTCAGAAGCAGGAAAAGGGAACAGAGATAAGAGATTCCAGAATATATAATGACTAGAAAAGAGACCATAAATAGCATTCTTCGTACTTCTTCCTACACAAAATGAGAGCGCTCTGAAACATTTTAAGAGCCAACAAATACATGTAAAAACAAGGGATTCACATGCCAAATATAGCACTTTGCTGCTTCTGCCACAGGAAAGACAAGACATAAAGTAATTTTATAAATAATAGGAAGCTTATTTGGTGTCAGGAGAAAATTGTATGTATGAGAATATTATCTATAGCTGCAATAGCCCAGGTAAGAGATATAAAGGTTAACACTGGTTAAACAGATTGAACCGGTGTAAATCTGGAAGGCTGAAATCATAAAGCATTTGTCATCCACTATCTTCTCCCTTTCTGAACTTCCACTTCCACCTTGAGAAGCTCCTATTAAAAAAGTCTTTTCATCTGTTTTTTTGAAGATTGTGATACTGGTGAAGATACTGAGCTACACAGACTACTGGTCTGGGATTCCTTTATTGTCTTTGGTGGAAGCAGTAGTAAATCGAATTAGTCTCTTTATGGCCAGTTATGCCTTATAAATATACAACGGTAATAAGTCTAAACAGAAGTAATTGATAGCTCTTCTTAAACAGTGCTGGAAACACACTGTTTCATATGTGTATATGTGGTATGTTGTATCATATGCTAGTGTTGTTTGACTTTTAGGATGTGCTGGTAGGTGGCCAGCCAATTTCAAATAAAAAAAGCTTTATACTTCTCTTTTCATTTTAATAAATACACATTTTGTCATATAAAAAGAATTTAAGAGACTTGGGATATAACTATTTGTGTAAAATAGGGCCTTATAAACAAGGTTATTTAGTGTTACTTGGTAAATAAAACAGAAGAAATAAATTTGCAATTTTATATTATCTGAAAGGAAAATGCTTGTGGTAATAATTTCCTCTGTGTGAATGTCAGAGTCATACTAGAAACAAGCTTTAACCAAGAAATCTAGAGTACTGTTTGATTTTTTTCTTTAGCATATTTTGAAATTCCAAACATACTGGAAGAAAAGGCATGCAGTATACAGACACCTTAATGCATAAAGGGCAAAGATTTAAGTCAATGTTATCAGAGAGTCTCATAATAAATTTTGTATCTAGTGGAATAATGTTTACTTTTTCTCTCTCAGGGCCATTTTATGTGCCAGATCTAGTTACTTTGCTGCTATGCTGAGTGGAAGTTGGGCTGAAAGCTCCCAAGAGCACATCACTCTTCAAGGGTAAGTGTTGTCTTTGCAAGTCGTGTGGGAGCAAAGGTAGGCAATTTAAAATCATTGCAAATATGTAACAACTGTGCTGTGTATAGAGTACTGACGATTAATCTGCCTTGACACTTTTCTTCAACCTGACACATTTCCTGAGCACTGATTTGACTTCAGTATGAAAAAGCTTGTAGTGTGTTTGTTAATATTGTCAGATGGTTCAGGGAAGAAGCCTTTCTCATCAGCAGAAGGGTCTACTCTTTTTTTGTAAAATATGTTTTAGTATTCACAGTCGATTTTACAATTCTTTTCTTTCACCTCATGTTGTACATGTCATGAAAAGTATTATGAATGTCTGAACAGTGTAATTTATTTTCATACCTATTTGTACAATAAGAGTATATTTACAATGTAAAGACAAATAAACAATTACATTTCTCAAACAGTGTTTAATTATATTTCAGCATCATACGCTAAAAGAATTTTGACTGGTGTGCTTGTTTGCAATGGCTTCCTGTGTGAGAGCTGAAAACAATGGACCTATTGGTGTACGATGAATTCTTAAGACTTCATAGATAAACTGGGGAGTGCCACATTACTTCTTTTCACTATCAGAAAAATAAACTGAAATATATTAAATTTTCTTTAAAAGCAAACTAATACTGATACTTGTAACGTTAGCCTTTTTGTTTAGACATGATGTTGGCTGACTCAATTTTCTTCAGAAAGAACTGTGTACCTTACAGTGCTGCAAAATATAATTGCTTTGTGCTGATATAAAATTGTTCAGCCAAGTGATACTTTCTTGTAGTTTCATAATTTTCATTTTCTGTCAGTGTAATAATATTACTGCAAAATCAGGAAGGTTATCTGTTGATTTGGTTATAACTTCCTAATCCTTACAAAACAATACACATTTAATTGATTCCTTAGCTTTTATGCTATACATAGTATGTTTTAGAGACTGATAGTCAACAGTTACTTCTGCTATTTACACTTCTCTCCCTGAAATTGATTTTTACATGGGTAAGAAATATTCACCCTTATTTTTCAGTAGAGGCTTTCTCTGAGAAGTACTTAATTTTTATAGAAGTATATTCTCATGCCAGTGTCTCATAACTTCTGTTACTAAGAATCATATCCATAATACTACCTTTTCTAATTTAGTTTTCTGCTTGGTGCAGTTTTCCATGATGTCTTTTTAAATGCTTATAAATAAAGTACATATGGCTTACTCTGAAATAATGAAAATTCTGCATAACAGCTGTCAAGACTGTGGGGAAACTCCTCCTTGCTGATTTTATGGCTATCGTGTACTAATATGCAGAGAGACAACTGTGCTGATTTTGCTTCTCAGCATGTTGCAATGTTTGTTTTTTCCTTTTGCTTTCAGTCATGGATGTCTGTTGCTTAAACATGTCTAATGTTTTAAAGGGTCTTAGCTCAATCTGCATGACTATAAACGATTTACACTAATGTACACAGCACTTATGGGTTCTGAAGATTGCACACTGAGACATACATATGTAAGTACAAAAATGTATTGTACCAGGACATTGTGTCTACCATTTAAAATAGACATTCTGTGCCTCTCTGCATTATGGTGCTGGGACAATGCAAGGATGTAAACGTTACTCTGTGTAGGAATTCCATATTTTTTAACCTGAATCTAGGCATAAAAACTTTTTCTAAATATTTTGAGATGCAACATTCCTACTTAACATTGTAATAAAACTATTAAATGTATTTTTATTAATGGAAAAGTTTAAATATATCATAAAAACTATGATTAAAATTATTATAGAACAATTGCTAAATATATAGTTGCTTGATAATTGACTTATTACTAGTAAAGAGCTTGGAGATGATGAAAAAAATCTTTTCTACATATTATCAATGTAAATAATCTAGATGCCAGTATTAGTCTGCTTATGACTTATTTTCAAAGATTTAAAGTATTACAAAGTTTCAGCAAAACTCACCCAAAATATAGTCCATTTAGATACTTCTACATTGCAGTAATCTTGAAAATAGCTTTAATTTTATCAGATTCACCTTCCATTCACACAGCAGCTGGATGATGTATCAGCCTTTTGACCAACTTCCTTTGGCTAAGAAATGTGGTATGTTCTATTCGGGACATGTCTTTATTTGTATTTTGTTTTTCTTTCTTTTTTTGCAGCATAAGCCACGTAGAAATGAGTGTCATCTTGCATTTTATATATGGAGGTATTCTGGACTTCCCAGACAAAGTTGATGTTGGGTATATGTCAACTTTTATTATTTTTTAATTGTAGTTTGTGCGTGTTCTGTAAGGAACAAACTTGTTCTGTAAGGAAATTTCTTCCTGTAATATGAATAAGACAAAAATGACAAATGTAATAATCTTCACACCTAAACATACTTGAGGAAATTGTAAAAATAAAGCTGTTGAAATCTTGTTTATTTGACAGCTACTGGAAAAGGTGTGCCAGTCATTTTTGGAATATTCTATGAGAGTGAAAAGCAGGAGGGTGTTTTAGACCAAAATAATTTCCAATTTGTCTGTATCTTAGTTTTCAGAATAATATATACAATGTGTGATAGTATTTAACAGTTAATATTTGGAATTTATTTTTAAATGGTCATTCAAGTTGATGTGAAGGCTAAGTAGTGAATCTTAGGTCCACAAAAGATTATATACAGCAACCAATGTAAACGTTAGCATTTTCTCTGGGATAATTTTTAATCACAGTGTAATACATAATCCTGTATTAGTGAAGTAAGTTCTGATATGTGTGAATTATTCCCTGAAGCGAGTTCTATACTACCTGTTGAAATCTGCCACTAAATATTAAAATGCTACTATTTCTTAATGTTAGAAATTGTTGTTCAAATCTTATCTATCTAAAATTAAAATATGGAATTGTTTATAATATGCCACAGTGTCAATGTTTAGGTAATGAATTGATACAGGAAATAAAATTATTATATTTATTATACAGAATAACAGTTTGTTCACTGTGCTTTTTATTATTTGCAATGGACATAATTCTCAGATACAATGTCATCAATAACATTTTATGTAATCATTGGGAAAAAACTACAAAATGCCAGAACTCTGCCTGCACAAATATCTTTTTCACTTGCTACCTTAAAACAGAGAAACTGAGAGTCTTCTAAACAGTTTCTCAGCTAGTGGCTGAGGCTTAACTTTTATACAGACTGAACTCAGTGGTTGAGAGATTGGTTTTAGGTCAATACACGTTTCTGTTTGAACATTATTCTTTGGCAAGTTTCACACTTGGTTATCAGTCTATTTCTGCAGTAAATTCTGACTGAACACAGAAGTGAAATTAGCATGTAAATTGTCTTGTAAGCACAATGCTTATATCAAAATGATTTTTGATTCTTGTTGCTACTGCTTTCTCTTTAGTCGCATGTTGGGCATTGCAGATATGTATGGGCTAGATGGGCTGAAAGAAGTAGCTATCTACATTCTGAAAAGAGATTACTGCAATTTTTTCCAAAAGGTATGTCAGTTCTCCTGCTACTTTGTGAGCCATGAAGCCTAAGAAGAATTTTGATTCTATTACTTACAAATCATATTGACAAGATACTTAACAACTGTCTTGTCAAAGTGTTAGCTTAAGTCAGTGGACCCTATTCTTATGTGTAAATCTGTTAAATTCACTGGGACTGATGATGGGAGTAAGGCCTGTGATATCCTCCACCTGTGAATAGAAAGTTGTAAACCACAACTGATGAAAAACAGTATTTCACACAATTCAATATATTAAATTAGATGGAGTATAATTTAATACATTCCATTGTATATGGAATTGTTCTTAATAGGAATATGGAAATACTATATATTTGTATATCATATTTCATGGCATATATGTAGAAAATATTTGTGTTCTATTAAAATTAGCTTAGTGGTACTGCTTAGAGTTGAGTATTTTCATGCATTTTCATGCACTAGGCTGAATACTACTTTATTGACATGTGTGGAAGCAGATGATTTCCCTGTTCTGCATAAAGGCAAACAAATACCATGGTAGCTACCAGTACTTCTGTTTGAAATACATCTATACAGTTTTCATAAATTAGAATGTACAATAATTGTGATAATTTGCTAACAACTCTAGCCTGTTCCTGGAAAACAGCAACCTGTACTAGAATGCATGGCTATTGCTCATTCATTGGGAGTCGAAAACCTATATGCTGCTTGCATGAAGTAAGTAAAATAAAATAAATTATGGTTTATGCTTTTAATTTCTCTGCTTTCTGTTGAAATTATTTTGTGTGATTTGGTTTATTTTGACATATGTAACATTCGCATTTTAAACGTTTTTTTCTTCATAACAATTTAGAGGTATCACATGCTAACAATTGCAGATAGAACATTTTTCATTTTCCTTACCTAAAAAAAGCTCTCTTTTCAACAGATGGGTAGGAAAACATTTTGCAAGATGTTTGTCAGAGAGGAGCTTTGCCAGTTTACCTACTGAACTTCAGAACAACTGTCTTGTTATGTTGATTAACTCTTTGGTAAGTAGTATATAGTGTGCTTTATATAAAAATAGAGCAATGTAATTTTTTTCCTTATTTAGCTGTACAATGTAATTTAAGAGATAATAAATACATTATTTTAAATCTGTAGTATGCTTACACTATATAAAAGTTCCCGTTAAAATAACAAAAAATATTTTGTTGTGCAGATATCATTGTTATGCTTTGTGGCACACAGTCTAGTGATAATCACATCCTAGTCCAGCATAACAATAAAAAATTATTATAAAACAGAGCTGTGATATCATAGAGCAGCATTATGTATTCAGATAGTGAAGAACAGCAAACCACTCTATCAATTTCTGTTAGGTGGCAGCATTTATAATTTGTGATTGCCTTTTCCTATTTGCCTATATTCTAATTTGGAAAAAATGTACTATTTTTCCAGACTTTGGGTGATCACTGGCTATCAGTGATCACAAGCCACTTGTTTGCAGGCAAGCTGACTTTTCAAAACTGAAGTAACAGTATAGTATATGTTATCTTCTACTTCTCAGATAACAGTATTGATCTCCTCAAAGCTTAGCATTCGTTTTTTTGTGGCATGTACTTAACATTGTTCCAATTTAGATCTGCCTAAACTTAAGTACTTTCTAATTGTGTTTCTGTATAAAATTACCCTCAGAGCTGACTTAAAAGATTTGAATTAGACCTGTAACAGGAATTTGGTCTGGCAATTAGCCTGTAAATACACTGAATTGTAACAGAGATATGAAGAGTATATAGAGGAGCTAAAGGTAAACCGGTACAGCTACTGCCTGTGTATACATGTAGCCATAATGTGGACTGGCATACACAAAGTTTCATGTAACTAGCTCAGGTAACATCCACAGGATGATTTTGGTGCTAGCACACACCAGACAGCCAAGTATGTGATGTCTAGTATCTCATGCTGAAGTCCTTGTCTCCCTCTCTCTGTTACTGTTGTTACTTATTGTTATCCAAGCTAAATAGCTCAAGTATGGCTACCCACGCTCCTAAACATACCCCTAATTCAAGAGATGCATTCCTAAGTGGTTCTGGCCAAGAACTGCCCCTCGCTGAAAGTGCTGTGAAGGCTTGGGACTGTTTTTATCTCAGGATTTCTTTGATGGAGTACTTACCCTGTCCAGTGCTGAGGACAGCAGGCCAGCTGTGAGTGGTGGCTGCAACTGCATATTCAGGTGGTACACTGTGGTACTCAGTACTGCTCCACCTGTGTACCCAGCTTCTCTGGAAGACTTTTGCAGTCTGAACTAAAGTGTGCTTTGGTTCCCATTTTACTGATTTAAAATTTGCATTGGTGTGTCTTTGCAAGAATCACTAGTATTTTATAGACTGAAGCCTAGAAGGCATTTAGAACTGCAAAACTAAAAAATAAAGCATAAGCCTCTTTGGTCCACAGAACAGTTCTGGTAAGTGATCATTTAACTCTGAGCTCTTAAGACACCCAGTCCAAAAACTCGTGGGATTCCCAGTGGAATTTTTGACAGTCTGCAAAAATGCATAAAGCTGCTCGAGGGAGAAAGAAGAAAAGGTCTGACATTAATTTTGCAGGGGCTACTGTATGTTTTAAGATCCTCTTCTCTGCTGCTACAGTTCTCTGCTGTAAAGCTTTTTAATAGTTACAGCCAGTTAAACAATATGACTCTACTGATTCTTTCATTTACCAGTCTTGGAAATGTAAAACCTAGCTAATGTGGGGCAGCCCTTTTCAGGAAGAAAAGGTACAAAGAAAAGGAGATTGCTGATCAGAAAATCTTTGGGAAGCCACAATGATGAACACAGAAACATTAAAATGGGAGTTCAGTTTAAAACGCTGTTCAGGTACTTACCACAGGTGCCTCAACTACATGCAAGAAAATTACTGTCTTTTTAGATAAGTGCACTCTACTTTAGAATGGTTAGGAAAAACAAAAGAAGTAAAATTCAGTTAAAGCCACTCCTACAAAGTGCTGATCTGATTAGAAGTCAATGAAGGCATTTTAATTTCACTGGAAGTGTCTAATGGGAGTAAATGCTTATTGCCTCCCATAATAAGGAGCAGGGGCTGAATTCTAGACAGTTCAGAAAGCTTGTAATTGAGTCCAGTGAGAGCAAGATCAAACCATAAGCATATACTTAATCCTTAATTTACCTTATATGCATAGAAGCAAACTGGTTTTGCCCACAGATAAGTAAAATAATAAAAAGCATATACTTGAAATATGGCTGGCCAGATTTTATGTTGCAACTATACTATGCATGAAGAAAATCCTCCCTGCTTTCTACTTTGCATGGGAAAGACATGATTATAATCTGAATTTACAGTAGGGAGTTTTGTGTCAAGTATTTGTCTGAATTGTTGCTTTCTCCAGCATTACTGATCCTCCTGCATAATTTATCAGTGACCTGCTAGGTCACGTTGAGTAGAGCTTTCAATCCATTCTGATGTGGATAACAATAAATTGCAAGTTCTTTTTAAGTGATGTGTTAGTCAGTAGAAGTTGCCCTCAGGTACTGTGCTGATGCAGTGCAACAGACCAGGGGAATAAATATTAGCAAATCTGTTTTCTTGTTTTAAATAACAGTTATGTTTCTTAGAGAAACATTAGACAACAAAGAGGGCAAGTTCAGTTAAAACTCCATCTGGGAAGACAAATATTTGATGCATGTCTCCTTTAAATAAAGCTAAAGGATTCATAACTATGAAAATGCTTGGGTATTTATGGATCCTGAATGCTAGACCATCCATACTAACCTAAAACTTTCACTTACCCATTTTATTCAAGAATTTATTACATCTTTGGGTGACTTAAAAGGTTTTTCTCTATTCAATTTCTCCAGTTAACTTTTACCTTATTTTGTTCAGGACTGCAGTATGTAATGATACACAGTTGAAAAGCTACTGGAAACTTCAGCAGGCAAACCAGAAGCAGTAGATTTTTCTTTGTCTGCTTTAGTTTCAAAGGTATAATGTTCAGAATTATCAAAAACCAAATTTATTTAAAGAAGGAAAATTAATACATGATTGGATCCTTGTGTAAGTATTCAGTAACTGAACGGAAGCTGTTTTATGAGCAGCAATTCTTTAGGTGATTACTTGGCAACAGGCTGATTTCTGTTTTTATTTTAAGAACCATAAGAATGCTGCTTTCTTTTTGATGGAGACTGACCGGCTGATCAATAGTCTTCCCCAAGTGAAATGGACAGAGACAGCTGTGGCCTTGGCGTCTAGGCTACAAGAAGAATGTGTAACATTTATTGTGGCAAACTTCCTACACATAGTACAAAGTGAAGGCTTCTCTATTCTGTTGCAGGTAAAACTACCCTCAGTTATTGTATGATTCCAAATAAACTGAATTATATCGTACTTTAGCTAGTTTAGGCTGATAAATAATCAAAATAGTTTCAATGTTTGCTTTAAAGTACAATTCTATTGAAAATTTAAAAAAAAAAAAAAAGCAGTGCTAAGTTGGTTTTGGGGGTGGTGCTTTTTTCAGTGTTGTTTTAAAGCACATTAATACTTTGATACACAGGGTTGATACAGCGTTCAGGTTATGTGCCTCAGTGAAGCAAAAGTTCCAATTAATTTAGTGGGACAGCTTCTGTATTGAAAAGAGATAAGTATATATATAAGCTTTGAAAAAGCTTTTGGACCCCTAGAACAACAGCATGTACTTACAAGAATGATTATGAGTATTAGCAGTATACTCAAACTTCTACTAATTTTTGTTGTGAGTCACAAGAATGGGGCAATGCTGCAGGTCCTAGTGAGAACATATCTAGTCATCTAGCTGGTTAATTTCTCCCATGAAAGTTTTTTTAAATATGCATAGAGGATTAAAAAACTAAATAGGGAGATGTTAAAACATTTTGTCTTTGAATCTAGAGTTGCATGTGGCTGTGAATTCATCACAGTATGCTTGTTCCTAAAATGTGAGTTAGTGGGAGGTTTTAGGATGATTTGCTAGAGGCCTGGAGAGGGGTGGGTTTATGGAATGAATACAAAGGAAGATGCTCAGCTTTGGAATACCTCCTGCACAGCGTGATAGCAGATCCTCTCTGCTCAGTAATGCTTTTGCATATGAAATACACTCTTTTGTTTTAAACGGTTGTCCTTTGTTGTTTCCTCAGGCACAGGCAATGAGCAGCAAACCTGACCTTCTAGAAGTAATTTTTAATGCAATTGAAAAAAGTATTAATAATGAAAATAGCTGCTTTCTTCTTGTAGCTGTAGATACATTGTTGGACTCCACAAATGTGAAGGAGATGGTAGGTTTTTCAGTGTGCAGTGTTTGTAGGAAAAACTATTCTGGTGTTTGTTTCATGTAATGGTTCAAATCAGATGATGTGGTTTGAACTCAGGTGGCTCAGTCCTGCAGTTGGGGTCGCAGAGAAAAGCATCTGCATAAATCCATGGTTCTGTTGGAAGTGCAGAAAATGTTGCCATTTGTTTACTGGATATTAACAATTTTTTCTTTTAAAGATAAACCCTACCGATGGCAATAAAATTATGGTGTATTACTGAGAATGTAAGTCCCATGGGCACCGCACTCTGTTGATCTTTACCATCATTTTAAATTTGTGATATTTGTGATGAGAAAAAAAAAATTAAAATGTCGCATTACCTTTAACTTACAGGGGAAAAGAGCTTATTCTCTTTCTCTGTGTACTTCTACCCCCTTTATTGTAAAAGTCACAGCTACCTTTGCTTTTGTTCAGACTGTCCTCTGAAGTGAGGACTGCCTCTTAATCTAGTATGTGTGTTTTGGTTTGGAGGGAGGTGTCAGTCTCCATGTGTGTAACATACCCTGTATACCCACACAATCTAAACAATGATATTTAAACTGTGGTTGATCTGATGCTGGGGGTAATTCATGAATAGTATGACATACTGATTAAAATCCAGAATTATGCTATAAGCAAAGAATGAAAAATGCAAAATGAATTACTGCAGTCTGGTGCTATCGTAGATCTTCTTGGTAAAAGCAATGAAAATTTAATCAGATACATTATTTTTCCCTAGAGTATTTGACCTTGTTGTGACACAGCTGACAGTAAAGAGCTATTATGGGGTTCTTAACAACAAAAAAAAAAAAAAAAAAAAAAAAGAGAGAGTGTGCAATGTGCAATGTGTTTTCTAGTGCTGTAGTATGCCTTGGTTTAAAGGATTTTTAAAATTACTGTGGTGGGCAATAATCCTTCAAAAACAGCATCTCCATCTACCAGACCATTATAAAATATAAGTGATGACATCATTGATCTAGCTTAGGGAGTAAGTAGATTCTGAAAGGAATAATGACTGGTTGCTATGACAATATGCCCCTTGCCAGCTGCTGATTTGTTACTTGAACACAGGGTTTTACGTGCAAGATCCAGGCTCTGCGTGATAAGCTCTGGGTCTTCCTGGTTCAGTCTTTTTATGCTGTTCGTCACACAGAAAGCTGGAAGCTGATGAGGCCAGACTATCAACATAAAATACAAGCAGGTATGTCTAGCATCAAATGGCATTAGAATTTTTTAGCAGTATGTTTAGTAGATAAACTGTAGGGGGTATGGTGGAGCCAGATAGAAATTAAAGCAAAATTTGCAATGCTTTAGGTTTTTGAAGTCGTGTTTCAGAATAGAAGCATGACAGAATGCTTAGCTAGTTTCAAACATGGAAATCAGTAAGTCATGTTCTGTGAAAAGCTTCCCCTGCTTTTCTTTTTAGGACTGTATATAATGGGAACCAAAACCATGTAGATTGATTCTGTGCTTATTTACAGCTACTCCAAATTATTGAAAATACTGCAGTAGGATTTTAAAAACCTCATCTCTGTCATTTTTAAGGAGATAAAAACTGTGGATGAATTACATCGGCACAAAGCAGATTATCCATTCTATGAATTCAGTTTCTATCCTTTATTGTTTTCTCCATAATGTATAAATATTGCTTGTCTCTTGCATAATGCTTATCTCTTACACCATGAGTAAATGCAGATAGCTTGACTTCACAGTTGATTGGCATTGTGATATTGTGTATGCTGCTGCAGAGAGCCCCTAAGGAGCTGCATAGTGTTCTCTCAAAATTTTAACAGACAGCACTTCCAACAAAAAAGAGTTTTTGTTCTGAACGTTTCTTTGTTTTGAAGTATACAAGTGTTCTGAGGATGCAGAACTGATGATGGAGTTTGGGTTATGGTTGAATATTATCTTTGACAGTACAGTGTTAGAAAAGAATGTGTTGAAGACTTCTTTAAAATAAAATCACTTTTGATCAAAGGAGAAACAAATATTTTTATGTCCTTTTTGTTAAAGACATTAGTAGCTAGGATATGATAGTTATTAAATTGTTTATGCCTAGAGGTAGATGAAAATTTTATTCTACAATTACATTCTGAAAGAAAGATGCAGTGACAGTCTTTCTAAGCATGATTTAAGGATGTAGTCAAATAACATCTCACTGCTACCATATAAAACAGGTTTATGATTTCTTTCTGGATTATGAAACCTTTCAGAAGCTGAGAAGTTGGCTCTAGTGTGGCTTTAGAAACAAGAGTGGAGGGTTTTTTTGGTTTGGGATGGTTTATTTTTAGGATAATCATGTTCTTATTGTAAATAATGTTTAGGCTGCTTTGCACTAGTGCTTTCAATACAAAACAATAATGTTAAACAAAGGTGTGCCTTAGTTGTCCAAACTCCATCTTGCTATAAATTGTTTTGTTTTCTTTTAGATTAAATTATAACTCAGAGCTAGCATACATTTTATATGTAAACAGACAGGCTGAAATGTTGCATAAATTATCTGTTTTCAATAACAGGTAAAGCAATCACACAATACTGGTAGACAAATTTTAATCTTCAGGTGTAATATGTCTAGGATAACTTAAATCAACTTTCATCTTAAAGATTTCTGGTGGTCATTTATCTTCTAGAGATTTAACCTATATAGAATTAGAAGGCTATAATAGAGAAGGGAAAATGCCAAAAGAAGACAGATGATAGTGTATGGTTTTTTATTCACAACATGTCTTGTGTTTTCTTAGGCACAAGTTTATATGGATTTTGTCTTAATATATTGGTATGTATTAATGTGCAGAGTCATTGCTAGAAAAAGGATTAGATCCCTGGGGTGCCATTTTCAGCATACCTTTTGTGTCATTTTTACAGACCTATATAAAAATTACTTTTTAGTATCTTCAATAAGAATTCAGCAGAATTTGTGTTATACATACAAAAAATGTATCAATGTATAAATAGTATGTCAGAACATGAGGCACTGAATGGTTAAATTTTTTTAAACATTTTTTGCAGAACCTTTTTTCAGCTTTGTTAATAAAAACAAAACCAAAACCTTATCGATTCTGGGTCTGTACAGTGTCTATAAATATCCTTTTTGTATTCTACAAGCGCAATTGATTTAAAGGCTTTATTGAAAAATGCTTCTCTCCCGAAGCAAACCAGTCAGAACAAAAAAAAAAAAAGGCATTCACTGCCTGAAAATTCCACATGACAATCACAGGGATAATTCTCATGACATTATGCTGCATGCTATCTAAAGAGGCACTATGATCTTACTGTGTACATTTCAATATTTTGGCTTTACCACTTTTAAAAACTAGTATAATTTAATTACTCTCTTCTTTAAAGGGTATAAATATTCTATAAAATAAAGTACATCACTTAAAAGTCATTAGTACTCTAAATTGAAAGGTGTCCTTTTATAAATTGTGTACACTTTCAAAGGTCTCAGTGCACTGTAAGCTTTAAGTGAACTAAGCTTGTAAAAACAAAACTGTGTCTTGCTATGAACATGGGGAAATGAAGAGTTAAACAACTTGCTTATGGCCATGTGACCTCATTACAGATACCACATTTTTTATTCTGAACATAAAACCATGTATTTCCACTTAACATTTGCCATGTCACCAAAGTTAGCCTTCCTAGAATAATTATAGGACCTGAAGAACTGCTTTCTGATTTCATATGTTAATTAGTAGGCTGGATTGTTTTCTGTCTCCCTTCTTTCCTGATAAATAGTAAAGAAACTGCTTGTTACTTTTACAGCTGCATTTGACAAGGGTGATGACCGAAGACTTGGCAAAAAACCTGTATTCACTAGTTCTCAGGTAAACATTTATATCCAAACATTAAAAATACCAGAGCTAAAGTATTCTCATCATGTGATTTAAATTTATTATTAATTTGTCATATTATTTAATGGAATTTGCTTTTGAAAAATTTGTATTTTTTGTGAACTGTTATTTGTGCAGAATCAGTAATGGCCACTACTGTAAACATCTTGGGACCCAGCCTATGCTCCGCTACATTTTTAAACAGATAAGCTCAAATAAAAGACAGGAATTTGTGTTCAGAATCTCACATTCCCCTGTTGCTATGTAATGAAACTGATTTGTTTCCCAGAGCAAATGGTTTGCTACTGAGCTAATGAATATCTGCTATTATCACAATCCACCAGAGCACTGAGTCTCTTACATTCCCTGCCCTGAAAAAGTATTTTAGTGCCTTCAACAACTCTTCTATTCAGACTCACACTCAAAATTACATTACTATTTGGTAGAAAACCAGTACAGGTTTCACATGATTTGACAGTCTTGGATACATTGCAATGACACTGGCATCACAAAGATACCATTTCATGCACTTACTTCTCCATGTTTCAGTATATATCTTTACCTGAGAGAGGGAATGAATATTGTCACTTATCTGGTGGATATACTGTTGGTAATGGTCAAAAACATCATATGTATTATAAATTAATTTTTGGTTTTATGTTTGTAATAATTCATAGTCTTTATTTCTCTTGGGAAAATATGTACATGTAACTCAAAAGAAGTTTTCTTACTTCAGCAGACACTAATAATATGAATAAATATTACAGAGTAATTTTTCCAAAGTAAAAGTGCAACTCTACTTAGATATTTCTATATCCTCTATATAGAGCAGTATTACATATCAGATTTACTAGGCACTCTAGTTATTTCTGGTACTTTTATATCTTTGAAAGCCAGCAATCTGAGCTAAAATAGAAATTTTTAAAGAATTATTTCTATGCTGAATCTTTTTGCTTTGGATTCATGTACTACTAAAAAAGTTGCTGTGTCTCAGAAATGAAGGATTATGGCTAGTTTGGTGTTATAAATGTCTTCTGGTTTTGTTTTTTTTTTCCTGATGCTTTTTTTCCTAGCTAAATAAATCTATTACTGAATCTGTTGGTATAAGGAATACTTCCTGGACAGAACACAGCAAGAAAGATTGCTGGGGAGATTCTTCCACTAATCAGGATAAAATGAAATCTGATGGATTAGGAGCATCTGGACATACATCCAGCACCAATAGAAACAGTGCTAATAAGGCTTCAAAGCATGAGGATGTAAAGGGGAAAGATGGCAAAAAACTAGGTTCCAAGATTACTAAGGATTCCAAACCTGGGGAAAAAGCTGCTTCACCAAAGGCTAGAGCTGTTATAAAGACAAAACCAGAAAATAATGGAAATGTGAAGGCTGAAAGCATGCTTACCAAGCAAGATACAGAAAAGACATCATCTACAAGTGGACAAAAAAATTCAGGAAGTGGCAAAGGACTAAAGAACCATGAAGGAAAAACTGCAGGTGCCAGACCTAAAGTGCTGACAGTAACCTCAAGCGTGCAGATCAAAACAAAACCTGTGAAAAAAACCACAGGGAAGGAATCTCCCTCCTTAATGACTGTGGCAGGAACTTCCAGCAAGTCAGCAAACTCAAACATAGATATCCAGACTGCCAGTGAACAGACAGAGGAACCCAAAGAGGATAAATTGGTAGAGGAAGGGAAAAAACAAACTGGTAATTTTTTGACATTTTTCTTTTTTAAAAGTCCCATTCTGATTTGTCCCAGGCTGGTCATAGACTGAAAAAACAGCCTGGGAGGCTTTAAAAAAATCTACTATAGATTGATAAGAGGCACCTTCTTCCACTGTAAATGAATATTGGCTTGAGATAAAACCAGTAAATTTCTCCTCTATTATTAACTGACTTACATTATTATCAACTATAGCCACATAAAATAGTAAAAGTTTTAGAAGTTTAGCATCTATGCTTTTTCAACAGCTGATCTTCATATATTAGAATTGATTTGGTACTTAGATGCAATGCATTTCCCCATATAATTAACTTTTAATTTACTTCACAGTAGTGAAAACAAAGTCATCTGTGAAGACATCAAATGGAGTCACCAACAAAAAAAAAAAGACTGATCTTGAGGCTAATGTCACAACAAGCAGGTATGTTACAAATCAGCATGCTGCTTTACATATGTATATATGTTTGTGTACTTTTGTGAAAAAAGTTTCAGATGAACTATTAAACTTACTGTTAAATTAACATGTTCTTTTTAATCTGAGAATGGTTGTCTATTGCACATTATTGGCAAAACAATTTGAGTTAGCTACTGGAAACATTGCTGTAAAGATAAAATCCGTTTGGCTTCTGTGTTGGCCTGTTTCATGCTAATCATTTTTAAATTGTTATAGGTCATTCAGAATTCTGCATACTGGAACAGTTAATGAATACACAACGTGTTGTAAATTTACCACTTCTGGGATACTTAAACTGGATTAAGCTGAAGCACTGTGAAATTGTGAAACAGGTCATTTATATGTGTGTGTGTGTGTATGTGTGTGTGTATATATATATATATATATATATACACACACACACACACACAAATTTTATTTTCAAAAACTATACCTTTTAGGTTGCATTTTCAATGTTTATATAAGTGTGCATATTAAAACTCATCTATTGCTTGTTTAAATATAATTAAACATTGCTAGATCTTAAGCTTGAAAATAATGGCTATAATATTTTTTTTGCAGTCTCACAAAAAAATCAGCTGGAAAAGGGTGTAATGAACAAAATACACAAGCTATTCTAAAGAAAAAAGGGAATGCGAGTAGCAATTCTGCAGCACAACAAAAGGCTCAAAACACATCTGCTAGTTCTCCCAAGAACCAAGGTAAAGCAATGAAACAGTCTGCCATTATTATGTTTTTAGCACAAGCATTTGACAAAATCCTCTGAACAATTCTGTCTCTTTTCTATATTTCACTTTTGGCAACACTCCTAAACTGTAAAATGCAAATGAATGTGTGTCAACTAAAAACGTTTAAAGGATGGGTTTTGCTGCCAGTCGTTGTTTTCTTCTGCTTATTTAACCTGCTTTGCAGAGTCTGTTATTTGTTGATCCCCTGCACTTGGAACCATGACAGGGTTCAACAGAAATTCTGTAGGCCAAGCATTTATAATATCAAATTTCTGGACTGCAAACTCCTTTATGGACTGTTAGTTTATGCCTCCCTTTTTTGGTGATCCCCCCTAGCAGCAGCACTACTGGTACTGCCCTACCCCACAAAAACCAATACAGTTGATTTCAACAGCTATTTATAGCAAGTGTGGGAAATGACATTGTAGACCACACAGAGGAAATCCTACTTTACAGAGAAACAAAGTGTTAAGGATGGAGCTCTTTTTTATCCTGTTTGGACTTGGCACTTACTGGTAGGGGAAAGAAGACTCAAGTTACATTATCTTAAATGTGTTATGATGTAGAAACACAGGTCCTGTCAATTTGTGGTCATTAAAGACCTTGCAGTATATTCTGACTGAGCAGGGACATTAATTCTGGTATTCTAATCACATTATAAGTAATTATTTTCTCCGTATTCTCATTTCCTCTGTAATATAAATTGAATACAGTACTCATCACTTTCTGTGCTAAGTTGCTGTGCAGTGTTTCTATGCTCTGTTGGATAGCTGCTGCTTTCATCCCCAGTGATGACTATTTTAGTTAGAGGTTGAAATAATTCCTTTATGCATAGTCTGTGAAGTGCTTCAGTTTTAAAGATGACATGTAAATTCAAGATGGCATTATTGTCTATTCAGTTTCTCAATTTTCAATTAATTCTTAATTCTCAATTAAATCTTTATTCTTAATTCTCATGTTCTCAATTCTTAATTCTTTCACAAGCCTTAAATCCCTTAGTTACATAAAAAGTTGAATAACCTGCTTCTCAACTTAAACACTAACATAAATTTGGTGAATATACCTGAACTGGCATGTACAATTGTTATAGTGTCTTTTTTTACTGTGTTAGGACCTCAGGGGGAATCACCAAATTCGCTGAAATCAGGAACATCTCCAAAACATAATGAAGAAAAAAATGTGTTACAACATCTGGTTCAGACAACACTCCCAGAAAAACATCCTTCAGCCAAGAAGAAGAGTAGTAAGCAGTCACAAACACCTGTAGCAAAAGCCACTGCAAAAATAACATCTAAAACTCTGGGTCCACCAAAGCATGCTGATACTACAAATAATAAAGACACAAAACTGAAAACAGCTGGGCAATCTGTATTAAAATCTCAAACGTCTGCCCAAAAACATTCAAGGAGTGAATCTCCTGTTGTCCAGAAGAATATGCAAACCTCTGAGCACAGAAGTTCAGGACACAAACTTGAAAAAAACATGGCTGATGCTGTGGCAGATCAGCTTCACGACAATAATGAATGCTATTCTGCAAATCAAAGTGAATCTTTAAAATCTGTGATGGAAAGTAGCAGTGAAGATAAACTGCTGGCATCCTGTCAACCCAATAAACAAAAATTATCAGATCCTTCTGAAAATGTGGAATACAAAATACAATCTGAATCTTCTCCTCTCATTACAGAAGAAACTATTTCTGAACCGCACGTTTCACTGCAAAATGAAATGGAAGTAAGACAAATCTGTGGAGATCAAACTGGAATTAAACAGACTGAAGATACAGAAAAAAATTATAATACAGCTGAATTTCATTGTTATGCACAGTCTTCCAGTGATGGATACTCAGACTTTTCCAAGGAAACCAATCAGAAGGCTGCTGCTTCAGGAGAACTGGTGAAACATTCAAAAGCAACAAAAGTCTGTACTGAACAAAGTGATAAATTAAACTCTGAAACAGGTCTTAACTATGATGAAAATGCTTTACTAAGCTTTTCTGGAACGATAACCAATAAAGAGGATGAGATATCATCTCCTCAGGTTCATATGGAGGGATTTCTTACAGCTGATCTGCTGTGTGATACATCAGCTTTGACTGAATACAAATCAGTTACAGCAGATTTAGATGATGTTTCAGAATGTTCCACAGAACAAATAACAGAAAAATATTCACCCAGTTACACAGAGCCTATAGATCCTACCGAAATGCCAGAAAACCATGAAAATGCAGAAATTCCCTTTGTGGACCGCTGGAGTACTGGTGCACTAGATCCAAAAGAGAGTCCTGAATCAGATACTGGCAGTGCAACGACATCCTCTGATGATATAAAACCAAGATCAGAAGATTATGATGCTGGAGGCTCTCAGGATGATGAAGGATCCAATGAAAGAGGTATTTCTAAATGCAGCACTATGTTATGCCACGATTTTCTTGGAAGAAGCAGCAGTGACACAAGTACACCTGAGGAATTAAAAATTTATGACAGCAGCCTAAGAATAGAAGTGAAAATGAAAAAAGAGGGTTCTGATCTCTTTCGTGTTAACTCAACAAGTGATGATGAAATACCAAGAAAAAGACCTGAAATTTGGTCCCATCAAGAAAGTGCAAGGACCAATACCAGAGAAAGCAAAAGTTCTGCTTTTGGTAACACTCAGTTCACTCAGGAAGCAGACCAAGTTTCTTCTTCTGCTGATGAAACAGAAGATGACAGATCTGAAGCAGAGAATGTTGCAGAAAACTTTACTCCATCAAATGTTCCTACTCAGCAGTTCCAAGGAATTGATAATTTAGCTTTTGAAGATGCAACAGAAAATGATACTGCAAATCAAGAGTTTTCTAAAACTAAAAATTTCAAACGATCTGTTTTACTTTCAGTAGATGAATGCGAAGAATTGGGATCTGATGATAGAGTGGAAACTCATACATCACGTCACCATTCAATAGATTCTATTACTCCTTCAGAAGTATTTGACAGTGTTTCTCAAGAGCACCATGGAAAGACTTTTTATTCAAGATACTCATTGGAAATTGAAGAGGGACTCCTGGATTGCAAACAGCACAAGGATAGAGACAATAGATCAGATAAAATTGAAAGTTCTCTCCTACATCCTCATGGCAGTGAAATTGCAGGGAAGGAGAATCAAGGTACTTCAGTGACTGAACAAAAGTGCTCAGAGAAAGTATATTCAGCAGCTAGTCCATGTCCAGGAGAAAAACAAAAAGTAAATATGAAGAATGAGGTGGCTAGTGAATTTCACCAGTGCAATAAATACTTAGACAGCGATGCAAAATCTCAAGAAAGACCATGTCATTTGGATCTTCATCAGAGAGAAGCTAATTCTGATGTGCAAAAGAGCAGCTCTACAAAACCTGTAGAAGCCAGTAAGAATCAGATACTGACTCAGGAAGGTCAAGTGAGAGACAGTCAACCAGCAACTACTGAATGCGCTAATACTGATTTACTTCCAGGTAATGTACAGAAATAGAAATGTTCAGTCATTCAAAAACAAATTAATAGGGGAATCTTTGGCAATTTGTCTGGGATTGAATCCTGAAGTAATTTGGCTGAAACTATATTTAAATATTTTTAAGTATTTCACTTGGGTAGAGAATGCTTGTCTGTTTGAAATATCCGTCAATACCCTGCTGTTCAATGAGAAACCTGACTACGAGAGATTTTATGTAATGCTAAAAGACAGATTGGATGCAGTCGTCTGTACTTGAGTTATTTTTGATCCAATCTAACATTGACAGCATCAGCTTTTGATGGAAACTTAGTATTTGTTTTGTCTGTTTGACAACATATAGTATGTCTGAATGGGATGTGCAATAACTACAGTAATAACCTTAACTGAAGCGCACTGAACTGTTTACCTAAACAGCTATATGCATTATTGTTGTAATTTATTTATTTATATATTATACACAAATTTGGATCCTTCTCCCACTGAATATAACTGAATATTTGCCATACACATCAGTGGGAGCAGGTTTGAACTATAATTTAGAACTTATGAGATGTCTAAAATACTACACTTTACCAATAAAAGCTTATTTCCTAAAAGAGAGATTATACTTAGAACTAATGCTTATACACAGAAAAGTTCTAACGTTTCACGTAGTTCAATGAATACTTGTCTAGTTTTGTGTTTTGTCTTCTTTATACCAATAATTCAGTCTGTTTATCCCATCAAAAATATACAATAGTGTTGATTACAACTATTGTGTATTCAGGAGTAGTGAAATGCTGGTGATGATCTATGTTCAGCCAGACCACAGAATAAGAAGACATTACAAGTTGTACTATCTTTTTTTTAAGTTTGCTTGCCCTTGCCTGCAGCTGCCCTTGCATGTGCAGTGTAGAAAATAAGCCTGTGGATAAACAATTTTGGTTTTAGCTCTCTTCTAAGCTGACATAGCTTAAGTCACCATTCAGTAATTATTCTCTATTAATCCCCTCCATGCACCTCCTGGTCTAAATTTAATTTATGTAGTAAATGAGAAATTTCATGTGCATTAAGTGTATATTTACATTGTCATTTTCTGTATCAGAAACTTAATTATGGAGGTTATTGTTAATTACCAGTGGTGATTGCTGCTTTAACTTAATTTATAAATCATACTTTGTTTTTTATATAGGAAATAAATGCCTCAAATTTTGTCAATTTTGTATAACCCTCCATCCCCCCTTTTTTAACCTGGTTGGATTGTCCTTCTTGAATGAGTTAAATGTTGCTCTACACAACACTGAGGGGAGGATCATCTGCAATTTTTACATTGTACAGTATTGTGAATTATTTCAGGAGACATAGATGATTATGACACAATGGCACAAACCTGCATGTATGAGCATCGGCCTTCAAAAACCCTTTCTCCAATATATGAGATGGATGTTGGAGAAGCAATTGAGCAGAGGATGGATTCAGAAACAGCAGTTCTAGATGTGGATTTTGAAGATCAGCAGTTTGCAGAACAGGACTGGACTCTCCTCAGGCAATTGTTATCTGAGCAGGACTCAAATATAGGTTTCAAAAACTCTGTTCCTGAAGACATTAACTTAGCACAATGTCTTATCAATCAGACACTGTTTCTGGCACGAGATGGTTCGAATCCTCAGGGTACATCACAAGTTGACACATTCAGTAGGTGGACTGAACTTATGTCTCCACTTGATGATTCCTCAGCAAGCATTACAGTGGCAAGCTTTTCATCTGAAGACTGTTCGTCCCCTCAAGGGGAATGGACAATTCTTGAACTAGAAACTCATCATTAAGGTGATCAACTGTTTGCAACTGAACTCCATCCCATTCCCCAAATCTATTTTTGATGAGTTGTTTCCATACAATACTGAAATACTGATCAGTCAAGGACAAGCAATTCTTGGTACTGAGGCAATCTTTCTGATATAATGAGGTAAATATGTTAATTTATAATCTAGATTTAATCACAATTACAATAATTTTTCAAGACTTAAATGTATGTCTTTTCTAAAAATGAACTTTGAGCATGTATTTTCTAGAATTGTTAGAAAAATTAGATGACATGAAAGAAGAATTTTGGTTTCCACCCTCCCTTTTATCTTCCTTTCTGATTTAATGTTCTCATTGAGCAAGAATTTAAAGATGACTGCACATTAGTAGAGCTATTCCTCTCCTTTTTTTTTCCCCGCTCTCTATATGGTGACTTCATTTTACAACAATAAAGATTCAGAATGGTTGTGTCGAAAGGTGATGTGTGCCAACACTGCTTTAAATGATGGAAGCATATACTTATGTTCAAAGAAAATGTTTCAACATGAATCTGCCTTGGGCCTTATTAATATGAGCAGCTTGTTTCATATGTTTCTTCCAGATTTGATTTTTTGTATTTTTGGCTTGTTTCGTTCAGAAGTTTCCAATAAATTTTTTTCATTGTCTTTCCTTTAAATATAAAATTTCAGAACGTGTGTGCTACAGGAAGAGCACTGTTTCTTTCTTGGAAATGCACATATTTAAGTAAATCTTTTAATGGCATAGTGCATGAATTCAGAGTTGGTAGAATGATGCTCCTGTTCTAAAAAACAGTATGTCTAATGTCTCCAAAAGTTTATCTCAGTCTGTAGCTGTGGTTAGTGTTGTATCAGAAGTCTGACATGGACTAGAATTACTTTCAGGCTTCAGTACCTTATATTTGCACTTCTGATGCTGTCTGAGGCATAGCAAGAGTCTCAGAAATTTGGTTTTGTTTGTTTTCATTGATGCTACATTTTTGGAGCAGTAACAGCATTCTACCTCTAGTGGAGCTTTTATATTGAGACTAAACGCCAACATAACCATTCTTCTGACTAAGACTGAAATAAGATATACTTCTCAGTACTGTTCATTCTGCTGCTGCTTTTGGCTGTTAATTTGGGTGTGGATAGGACTATTTATTGTCTTTTCTGATTTGATGGGGAGGGAGTAAGAAAATATTTGTAATTCTTACAAAGTAAGAACTCCTCCTGAAACATACAGGTTTTGTTCCCTGCAAAGGTTAGGCCCTCTAAGATATCTGCATTACAGAAGTAGCAGGGCTTGTCATTCCCACAACTTAAAATCTAAGCAGGAAGTATTCTACCTCCTCTTAGTCATTAACAGAAGTGCCTTCAGAAGTGGGTGCCACATGGCAGTAAAAAGCTACTAACATTTTTGTTGTTAAAATTATTTAAGTGCAAAACTTAAGATGGTTGTAACCACTGATAACAAGGGTCAGTTTTGCAAGCTTTTTCACAATTCCAACAGTGCAACTTAATTTTCTTAAGAAATGTCATTTATTTTTGTTTGTAGTTAGAAACTCTCAGTTCTGTGAAAATATGAAGTTGCCCCAGCATATGACTAAAGAATTTATGACTTATCTTGTCTTTGGACTTGATGTAACAAAGAGCTCTGAGGCAAAATAATTTATCTAGAAAGCCACTTTGTTGAACTTCTGCTACAGAAATAAAAGTGATGTTTGATTTTCCCCAAAATAAATGGAGGAAGAATTTTATCTCATTCTTTAATATCAAGGCAGGAAAAAAAAAAAAAGAAAGCCTTCCTTTCTCTTTATGTCAGTGAAGAAATAGGACTCTAAACTCAGGGAAGGAAGATGTTCAGTATCATAATAAAAATCTCTCTCCTACTCTTAACTTTCAGGAGCATAAGTAGTCTGAGATACCATAATTAAAAATGTTTTAAATGTAATATATTTATCCCAGTCCATATTGAGGGAGTTAGAACTTATAGAAGTGGAAGTCATCAAGAAAACCTATTTTTCATCTTCAAGTTTATAAGGTATATTGACAGCAGATAATCTTTTGGATAAATGAAACAACTATAGCATTAGCCATAGTAAAAGATGAAACTCTAGAGAAGCTCTTACCGAAGGCTGAGGAATGGTGTTTTCTCAATTTCTGTGTAAAACACTAAAGTAAAAGTTGTTTACAATAAAGTTTAATCAACTTCCAAATCCTGATGATATTCTGGTAGTGGGCATTCACATGTTAAACAAAATTAAATGATCAAAAGAAGATAAAGGATTAGGAAAAGTAACATAGTGAGACTTGCTTTTGTCTATTTTTTGCTTTACCCACATTTTTAACTTCTTGCTGAATTGAAAAAGTAACACTGAAAAGTGGCATACAAAGTTCCATGTTTGTTATATGAAATACAGTCACGTATAGGGATTTTTTAACTATTTTTAGTTTGAATTTACTTTTCCAGTTGTATGAAAATTAAATTAGCTTCTCTCTTCAAGTCCCCAGTTATGTTGTTGCAAATCCTTTAACAGTTTTGCAGTAGACCAGTGATCAGGATTTGGTGTATTGTTCACTTGGTACATATGCAGCCATAGAATTCAGTTTCCCACAGCCAGATAGTGTCTGTAGAAGTAGCAGGAATAGAAAGTGGTATTGTTTTTAATTTGCGTTACCAGAGTGCCTGTGAGGCTTAATCAGACCAGCATCTCACTGGCTAGACATTGTACAAACAGAGAACAACAACAAAGACTTCTCACAGAGTGGTTATAATCCAAGTTAAGACAAAAGACAAAAAAACACATGGATGGAAAAGTAAAATAAGAAAAATAAGACTGTCAATATTTGTCTAGCTGATTAGCAATGGTTTCAGCATACCACCAGTTTAGATATTATTTTTTTCTCTGTATGTGTTATGAGAAGGGGAAATCAGAGGGTGGGATTTGGAGGCTGGAAAATGAGGGAGCTGTAAGAATCTATATTCCTGACGAGCCCTGTTCATGACCAACCATCTGTTCCTTGTTTGACCTTGTTTAGCAGTCCCTCCTCATTCAAGAGGATGTTCAAGCGTTAGGCACATGTAGGTGGCTATCTGTTCAGTAGTATCAGTCACTTGAGTTCTCTGGAGCCCTGCTCATGTCTCCTGACAGTGATTTTGCCACTGTATTGGCCTCTTCTCCAAAATATGAGAGAATGGACAAAGGTTTGTTTGAAAACTTCATATAGAAACAATCAAAGCTAGTGTCATGGGCTCCAAATGAATAGTGATTAAGAGGTCCCAAATGACCCCTAAAGTAAAGACAAGGTATGTACATGTGATGAAACAGTGAAAGGGCATCACTGAAGAAGCAAAAGAAAGAGATGGCATAGTCAAAATAATGTCTAAGAATTTACCTTTGCCGTAGTGTTTTGAATGAGTAAGAGCAATGAAATTGCTTTATCAAAGCCTGAGAAGACAGTGTTGCAGTCAACAGGTGATCCTGACAGCTTACATGAGATTGTTATGTGAATGGGTAAAGATATCTGTATCCTACAGGTAGTAACAAGAAATTTAGTGAAATATCAGTGAAAGTTAGAGGAGAGGACTTGGAAGTCAGAGTTTATAATGACATGTTATGAAAGTCAAAAATAAGGGTGTTTTATGTGTATGGATATATTGTTTAAAATAGGCTAGACCTCCAAAAGGTGATGTCAATAGGCATAATTTTTTTTCTTGAAAAATTAGAGTCTAGTCTGAACTGAAGAAGCAGCTCTGCAGGTTTTTCACATATAGATGCTAGCTAACATAGTATTTGTGAAATAAATCACTAACACATATATTGCAAAGGGAGAAGAGAAGGAAATGGAGGCCCAAACACCTGGAACCCTAGAGGAAAGTGGAGGTTCTTCCGAATGATCTGCTCAAAAAAAAAACAGTTAGGGAAGCAAAGGGAATAAAGATGGTGACAGGAGTCAAGTGAGGATGATGATGAAAGGATATAAAGAAAAATACACCACTGGCTTCACTGAAGATGGCCCACAAGACAGCTGATATAAAATAGCACTTTTGAGGCTAGTTAAGAACACGTTCTTAGGGACTGTGATCAAAATGAGATATTGGCTTCCTCAGAATGAAAGGCAGGCAGAAGCCAGTTTGGTGGAGTATGACAATTGAAGGAAGGAAACTAAGCTTAACCATTAAGAGAGATGCAACAGTTAGAAAAGCACATCAGTTAAGAATGTATTTTGGTTTGTTTTTTAAAGGCATAAGATTATACCATGTTTATATAGTGTAGCAAAAGAATTGAGACTGAGACCTAAGTGAAGATCAGGAGTGATAAGTAGGCATGAAATGAGATCAGCAGGCAGTCTGAGCTGCTACCACAAGTGATCAGATAAGAGCATAAGACAAACATCTGCTTTTGTGGTAGAGGTAGTGGAGAGGGCACTCCATATATTCATCATTTTTTCTCTTAGAAAAACTTGCTTGTGGAATCAGAATTACATAAAAAACGCAGAAAAATCACAACTACCAAAAAATACAGGCTTTAAGGGACATCCATAGGTCTCTAGTTCAACCTCCTGCTAAAAGCAGGGGTAACTTCAAAGTTAGAACAGGTTGCTAAGGCTTTGTCAAGGTCCACAGCATGTAAAATGTAAAAAAGTCAGCAGGCAGGAACACAATGCTCACAGGAAATACTTATCTGAGATAAAAATATTCTCATTATAATAAAACTACTCTGGATACTGTTGGAAGAGTAGTAATGAAATACAAGAAATATGGGTTGCTTGCAATACACTGAAGTTCTGGATGGTATGTGATTGAACTGTACACATTTAATAATCTTATTCCACACTTTTTACAGTTTTAAATTATTTCAAAATTACACTGAATTTTTGAGTTTGCAAATTTTATTACTTTTTTGGAGGAACTAGTGGGCCAGAGAACTTCCCATGTTTCTCACAAAGACTGTCCATAGGATCTGTTCCCCTAGTATTGTCTATCTCAGTTTCTTTCAGGGAATATTAAAAAAAAAAATAATTAATGCATCTGTTCAAGGTACCGATTGTAGGAGACTGTTTCAAAACTCTGAATATATATTATTGCCATCTGGGAAATAATTAGTAGCGTGCTCATCCTACTTTGTTCCAGAAAGTCTAAACTTTTGCATGAAGGAATTAAGAACTGCTGTTATGTTGTTCATCTGTTGCTCAGAACCAGGGCATTTAAGAAGTCATTATTTCGCTTCCATTAATGTCAAAGGGAAAACTCCTGTTGACCTCAGCTGAAGCAGGTTAAGGGCTTACCTATATTAAATGCATGTACTAGAAATGCTATTTTTCCAATAGATCTATTTCATAGTTCTCTAGTTTTACTCTACTAATAACATTGTACAATTGTAGATGTGACAAATTGCAGCTAGAAAGACTTCAATTTAAAAGTCATAATTGTATGCATTCTGTTAATATTTCATGACTGGGGTGATTTAACATCTGTACATTGATAGATGACATTCTTGCTGGGACTACACAGGAACTGAGAACAAAAGACAGAATGAGACTAGCAGCTTTGTTACAGTGGATGATTCCGTGGAAATGGGCTTTTGGCTTTGAAATCCAATACAATTAGAAGCCTTAATCTCTTGCAGAAAATTCATACTGGTTTTCAGCTCTATCTCTCAAACACAAGCTATACATGCTATTTTTTAAAAATAAGCTTTAATATGTTCAATTTTGAAAAAAATACAGCTCAAATCTGGTTTTTGGCTAATTTAAAACCAAGCCTCCTATTGACAACTACTGTGTGTGTTTAAGGAAATTAAACCTGTAACAGAGAAAAGTGATTTATATAAAAAGTGGATATAAATTGTGGATAAATACTGACTTTGATTATTCTTTTTTTACCTTGGTAACTAATAACTGAAGAAGCTCTACAATGCATGCATGCACACACCTGTTTATTTCTCACATTTGATCTTCCTTTTATACTTTGCATTGCAATCTATACTGTATAGCCAATTAGGCCACAGTTCTACAAACATGGGAGTGAATCCACTTAAACATTTACGGATTGGCTTTCAGGTTAACATTCACTTTTCAGAAAGGGCAATGGAACAGGCACTGGGGGCAGGCACTGTGCATAGTTGGGTTTTTACATGGTACTCAAAAAAGTTCTAATCCCGATGAACCACCTGGATGCAGTTAAAGTATGCAATAATTAATAATAGAATTAAGTTTAACTTAATTATTAATTAATAATTAAGTTGCTTCCCTGTTCTCCTTGATTTATTGCTGAAGTTCCCAGCTCAGAAGACTTTTCCGTTAGAGAAATCAAAGTCCTGAGAAATCTAACTTTTTGCATTACATGCAACAAAAGATATTTTGCCTACTGCACAGCAAAATATGAATACTGATCAGATCTTCAGCAACTGAAGCTTCAATATTTGGGGGGGGTTGACTACAGCTCAGTAACTAGATAGATTTAACAAGGACATCGATGACCAAAATAGGGTTTTTCATATTAACAGATGATGACTGTTAACTGAATTAGAGTAAGTGGTGAACCTAAACAGAGGCTCAAATGTACAAATTTGAGGACTGAGCCCAATTACCCAGGTAGTCCATCAGGTTTTGTATTTATACACACAAGTAAAAGTGACTGATTTTTTCTCAGCTCCCACTGAAATTAGTGTGAGTGATATCATATCCACATCTATAAAATTCAGGATATTTTTAAGTGAACAGAAAGACTGGTAACCTGAGTAAAAATTTTGGTTCATGTAACTTTGTAACTGTATAAGCCAATTTTGAGACTGATCTTACCAAATGACTTAAATCTACAGCATCCTTGTTTATGCAATCCTTATTTAATCATTTGTGTGATTTTTCTTATGCTTGTGTTTAACAGAATCTTATTTCTTTTTTTATAACCTTGAGTCTAGCGTGGCATCCTCTCAGTAGAATTAAATCAGTGTGCTTAAAATCAGTATAAATAGCACAAACCTTATGTACATGACAGATTCATTGTAGGTAGTGTGAAAATTTTTTGTTACCTTCATAGGATGAGGATGAGGTTCATGAACATGAGACTCACCTATGAGTCAAACTTCCTACCTGTAACAGAATGTCCTCCTGTATCTTTGTGGTAGAGAAGGAAACTTCAATCTCCATATGCGGGATTATCATGTTCTAGTAATCAAAATTAATCCTATATATGTATAATGGGATGCATTTGGAGAAAATTTTGAGTCACTACCTGCAGTCCATGGCTTTATGGTCCTAGAATATTTTGACCACTCAGTCTTTGGGAAGGTCAGGGAGGGTGTTAAGCTCTCAAACTGAATGCTTGCATGTTTTCCACCTGCTTGCTTTTCAAAACTAGATAATTAGCTGGGGCCTAAGTAAGCATATTTCCAAATGACTCCTTGTGAACACAGTCTTCTGTTCCCAGAATCTCTGTACAGTTGCATAGTCCCACAAGCTTTCTTCCCCATGCTCCATACTGAAGAGTCTTATTTGATTTCTGTATGACAGAAAATAATAAATCCTATGTATAACTTGAATGCTGAGTCATTGTACTTCATTGAACTTGTGGACTGCTGACATCAATTTTTATTTGTGTTCTGTAAATTGCAAAATGTTACCTTCCTCTTCTATCCATTTAGTGGACCTTCACTCCTCTTTTTCCTCTAAAAGGAAAAAAACACTTTTTCTTGGATCATGTCACCAGAAAACAAGACAGGTGATGTGTGTGAAGATGAACAATCAGTTCTCATATAGAAAAAAGGAAGATACCTATATAACTGCCCTACAATATCAAAAAGCGGTGCTGATTTAGAACATACAGGTTATGGCCCAGAAGAGCACAGAGAAACACTAATTTGATGAAAGATTTTCACTTGTTATAAATTAGTTATTCATCCAAATGCTCAAGCCATTATCTTCATCATATGGGAGTTCTAATCCCAAAATCCTTCTATTCCTGCATTAATGGGGTTCTTTGCTCTGCTCCCAGGAGTCATTTGATATGGTGCCAGCCGCAGAGCTATTCTTTCTCTCTTGCAGCTTCACCTGTATGTGAAATGCACCGTGTAGGTATGTGGAAAAAGAATGCTTTCGAGATATAAAGGCGACTAGCAAAATGTCAGAAACTGTCACAGCAGACAAAACTATAAGTAGTAAAATAAATTTAGCTCATAATATCAGGTAGCACAGAATCCCTCAAAATCGTTGTTTCAAAGGGAAACTACTGGGGAGAAGAATGCTCTGAAGAATACACAATCTAGAAAAATTTTCTTCGAGTCAAAGATCTTTTTAATTAGCCTTCTGACAGGAGGCTCATAACAAGAGAAAGCCAAGTCATGTTGAGAGATTCAGACTCAAACGGCATTGCAAAACAAACTAGTACCAGAATTGTTCCTTGAGCAGTTCCTAGTCCAGGGGCTCAGCATGTCCCATTGCAGAAGACTTGGACCAGATGAGTGTTAGGCCTGGGTGGCTCTTACACAGGAGGCAGTGAGGTCTGTTCCCCTCTGAACTTTCTAACTCAGAGTCTTATTTTTATTTTAAATGTGAACTATTGTCAAATGTAGTGACAGGTAGAAATATATTCATTGAAGTTTCCAGTATAACCTTTTGCCAACTGAAACTAAGATACACAGAATTTACACAAGTTAAAATAAAACAACTGGAGTCAAAATACTGACAGGAAGCAGTTTCTGTTAAGGTTTTGGGTTTTCTCATTGTATGCACTTACCCATCATTGTACTTGGATGCCTCTCAAGGGGGTATTTTGAGTTGGGGAGTGTCCAACTTTATGTATGATAAATGGCTATCAGGAAAAAAGGCATCTGCTGGTATCCCAGAAGCCTAAATCCAGTGTTTAAATCTCTCCGTTTTTTTTTTAATGTAATATTTATCCTTTTTTTTATGTACCATACATTTCTAACAGTATTATACTGAAGGAAAAAAAATCTACTCACCTGTTAAAGACATTTATACTGTGAATCATCTTTTTATTCCACTCTATTCCTGCCTATTATTTTTTCTCCATCTGAATTATTGCAATTCAATTAATGCACGTATATATTAGACATATTCCAAAATATGAATTCAGATACACTATAGTGTTATAAGTCAAGTACAACCACTATAACAAAATAGTTCCTACTCATTACTTTGCGTACTGAAACACTAATTCATTCTTAGTGTGCATGAATTCAAACTTCACGTTGGCAGATGTCAGTGGGATCATCAATCACCATAAAACTGCCTCATTATTTTGTAACTGTATTTTAAAATAATTCCTGATGTTCTTAACTCCCTTATTTTTGTATGCAATCAGAGCACATGGCTCCACTGTTACAGGAAATGGCTTCACAGTGTTGGTCCTGTCACAGCTCTCTATAACACTGCAGTTGGGATACCTCATACATCTGTTATTTTCATTTAATTTGCTAACTTTCACATTTATACTCCACAGAAATTTAAAAATTCAGTATTAGAAATATTTGACTTACTATTAAAAGTTGCATGACATTTCCATACTCTTGCAGCGAGGGGTAACTGCAACTTGGGTGTATTTGAGCAACAGAAGTACGAAATCAAATGCAAATCCACTTCTTGTCTGCAACAAAAAGAAGAATCATTTTTAAATCACTAAGATGTCTAATTCTTTCCAAGCAACCCAGACAATTTGCTATTTAAATGTATAATTTTTAATATATGAGATTACTTTTTTGTATTTTAAAATGCTCTAAAAAGTGTTTAAAAAGGAAAAACTTCTACAATAATTTCAAATTTTCAGTAAAAATACTGATTTCAGTCGATGGTCATGAGTCTAGATTTGCATACTAGGTGAAGAGCAAGGGTGGAAATCAGCGTTCTTTTTAAGTATTTTTAATGACTGCTCTCCAGCTCTTCTTTATGGTGTAAAATTAGTTTCTTACATGATGAAAAAAGAAGCTCCAACATTCTTTCACTCTAAGTGGTGCTGTTTCTTGCTTTCATGTTTTTGTACTGTGTAACTTCTATATTTAGAGTATCATAGAAAATAATTTGCAATATTCTTCCCCAGAAACAGCTGCCAAATTAACTGCCCATTAAAACACCCTCTCAAGGTTTTTTCCTATGCAAAAGTAGATTTATTACCATCGTTTATAACACTCACTTGTTTTGCCTGGTGTCCTTCCACGGTTTTGTCCTTTCAGCCCTTTTTATCATCTAAAAATGTCACACAGTCTATACTTGTAGGGCGGCAGTCTCTCAGGCCGACACCAAGATTCTGGAAGACTTTTTATGGGAAGACTTCAGAGACGGCCGGGTTGTCAGCAGCACCAGCAGCCAGTGCCCGTATGCTGCAGGGCAACACGAGGCCAGCACCCGGGCACTTCATTTGGGTGTCGGGAACTGCTGTTTGCCGTCTCGTAACCTCTGAGGCCCGTGAGGCAAGGTTGGTTTCAGCTGCCGCCCGTCCCCGCTAAGGAACAACCTTGGCTCCTTCTGAGGGCTGCGGGAAGGAGACGGGGCCCCGCGGCGGCCCTGCCGAGGGCTGACCCGCTCGGTGCCCAGCCGCGAGGCACCAGGTCCTTCCAGGAAGCCCGGCGGGGCCACAGCGGTTTCACTTTAGTGCCTGGCCAGGTTTCTAAAACGAGGAGAGACGCGGTTAAAATTTGTATTGGGAACCAGCCCCCAGCGCTCACTCCCGCCACCCCCCGGCAAGGCTGGCGGTGCCATCGCGCTCCCGGGCGCCTCAGGGCGCGAGGCCCGGCCCGCCACACGCTCTTGCCAGGCAGCTTCAGTGAGTGTCCCCAGCTGCACCATATGAGCCGTACTGCAATAGAAGCGCCTGCCAAGCTAGATGCCCAGGAGTATTTTCAGAAGAGTGAAAGGTAAACGTACATGAAAAAGAGCTAGTG